ACTCTACACTTGCCCTTGTTGAACTTTATAATAAGAAACAAGCAAAAACCCTACCACTATAGCATGAAAATAAAAAATCAAAGAGAAAAAAACCAAAAACAACAAAAAATGCTTGAGTACCCCCAAACTCAATAATCCAGTCACATGAATACCAATAAAAGTTCCAGTCATGTAAATACCACTGAAAAACAGATACACCAATCATTGGTTCACCCAAAGAGCAGTCTGAAAAAGTTTGCTCTAAAAGGAAAAAAACCTCTGTAATGAAGAAATCACTAGGTAAAAACATAAAAGAATACCAAAACCAACCAAGCAAAACACTCTTCCCCCAAACCACCACACCAAATTAAAGACCTAACACACAGTAGCAAAACGTAAGACAAAAGTCAGGTTGAATTTCTTAAAAAAAGACAAAGGTGTAGCACAAAAACAGAAAAAAAAATATCAAATTAAAAGAAAGAGTCTGATATAAGAGGAAGTGCAATGACATATGGTCCTAGCTTCTTGGTTCACATTTGAGGGCAGTGTATTTTACATTAACTAATAAATAAATATTTTCTTTTTTAAAAAGCTGCATTACTAGAGGTTTGATTAAGCTGGCCATTCTTATTGACAATAAAAGAGTATAAACGCAAGCACTTCACATGCTTATACTGTGAACAATGCAAGGCACAATCAGTAAGCTTCCATACTAGACATTATCTGAAAAGGAGCATATAATGAAAAAACTACCTAAATGGAGTAAGAGACATACTGAGAAGGATACAGTTCAATATATACATGAATACCTGAAACAGCCTTTAAGTTCAAGTTTACTTGAATCTTTATTAGAAAGCACTTCAGAATAAGTTATTCAGAAACACTTTTCTTGAAAATCAATGCATTCTTTTTTTTCAATTTATAAGTTCCACAAGATGAACATTTCCATAGATGTAAACTGAGTGCTTGATGCATAAAATACACATGCAACAATAAACATTCTCCTGTTTACACTTCAGAAGTCTCTTGGCTTAGTAACATGCTTAATTGCTCAAGTCTGCTGTTTCAAAGAGTACATTTTTGGTTTTTTGTCTTTGAAAAGGAGCTGACATGTCACCATGAAGATCATTGCTACTTGCCACCCACAGTAGTCACCCCAAATGTCCCGAGTATGTAGAAGACTATTCCCTGAGAGTTTCAAAACACAATGGACAACATTGTTCTGTTTATTATTGCAATGAATGAACTTTCTTACCAAATACTCTGGCTACAAATCCTAATGGAAACTGAGATGCAAACAGTGTAAGAAACCACGGTGCAGCATAAAGACTGGGACTGATTTCATTCTCTTCCAGATGATTATACAGGTCTCTGTGATAATCATGAAGAAGCCTTGAGAGCTGATACATCTGAATCTACAGTCCATGACAGGGTTGAGGAGGAAGGAAGTAGAGAAAGAAAATTTCAGCTTTACTCAGTTTTTCAAACCATTCACAATTCACTCGAGGGAAATTAACTCCAGTACAGATGGCACTGCATCATGCTTAATTGTCCCCTAGGGCCTCGAGTAATATCTACTCACATCTGAACAACCCACCCCTAATGAATTAAAACCAACACAGTTGTCAATAACAAAGAACAGTTTGAACCTGATTATTAATGAAACATCATTTCAGATTCACAGGCTTAAGGTAAGAAAAGAATATAGTGATCCAACTTTGTCAGCAAACCAGAACTTTCAGTCTTGTAGCGATGAAAGTAGAAGTACCTCTTCCAAGATGCCAAAACTCTCCATTACAAAGTTGAACTACTTCTGGCTAAATTTACACATTTCAGCTTTCATCCTTTGAATCTTGGCCCTATTTTTGCTGCATTTAAAACTCCTATGCTACAATCACCACTTCAGACAGCTTCCACACCCCCAGAGTATATTACATGTGGTGGGTCAATAGAGGTGTACCACATATATATTTGCCAGCACACCTCTCACATGCCAGAGAAATTTAAGATATTTCATGCAAAAAGTGCTGCTATACACTGCATAAAAAGTGGCAAAGCAAAGTGCTTAAAAGCTGCTGTTTGTTGCTAAAAATATCCCTCTGGCAAATTATTTCCGTATTTATTCCAAATTATCTCCTTACTTATTCCACACTAAGTCACTCACAGCACAGAGTGATGCTTGTCTCAGAAAGCAGATGAGAAACACATACATTGATTAGCTGTCAGGTCCAATTTTGCTGTCAACAGTGCCTTATGCTTAAGGTAAATCAATTCCTCAATAAGAAAATGACTTACTGGATCCAGTCTACTTTCCTACTTTTAGTGGCCATGAGTCTTCCCTACCAAAAACTGACTGTACTTGAAACTATCTGTCAGTCAGCAGCGTCCACAAGTAGACAGATCACTTCTCATTCAGGCAAATTGGCTCAATTTGTGCAGGCATTTGAGACCTTGCTTTAGTTGCCAAAGATACTAATTAAGCACAGTGTCAATAAAAAACACATCTACACGTGAAATTTACATGTGAAAATGGTGTCAGAGGCAGCAAACCAATTGGATGAATTCACTATGAACTAAGGATCTAGATTACTACTTTTTCCAGACTGCAATTAAAAATGTAAGGCAAATAAGTTCATTATCCTAATGAAACTTCAAACATTTTCTTCTACAGGACAGAAGGCAATTCTGTATATGAGCTTACTTGTGTTTTGGTACTGTAAACATAACAGAATTTGCAAGTGCTCTACTGTGAAAAATGAAAACAGAAGTTTAAGCTTTAGTGAGATCCTCTAAGTCATCTTCATAATTTGGTTTGTCTTCAGCAGACAAAGCTTGTACTTTTGTCTAGAATAGGGTAACTGCCTAGGAGCAAACTGTGGGGAAAGAGAGGTCATTTCATTTAAAGGGCAAATGGTACTACAAGTGATAAACCTTCTCAAACTTAAAGAAGTGTTTCTTCCTAAGAACTTCTGATAATTAAACTCTCAGACCCGTTTAAATCAAAAGGTGACATCCTGGACATCTGAATGCTCTCAAACCATCAGAAGTTACTGAAAATCTACAAGGGTGGTATAACATACAAACATTAAGAGACCATCTTCTAGGGGAAAAGAGAAATCCCACAACCATGCATTTGTCCCACTTCGACCCCCACTGGTTCAAAACATATTGGGGGGGATAGGGGGAAGAAGGGGACAGGAAAGAGGCAGAAAGATGCTCTTTGTGGCTGTTCACCCTTACTCCATCACAACAAACTTGGTATAACATACTAACAGCTGCAGTAAAACACTCTTCTATCACTTCTAGAATAAGCAAAAAAAAATTTCTTTAACTATGAGCTATTCTATTGTTCTGGTCATTTGCCAAATTAGTATCTAAACGACTGGTCACGAAAAGTGGACTGAAACTCTCCCTTAAGTTTTCACTTAACTATAAGTGTTTGCTATGCACAGAGCATAAAAAAGATACATTTTAATCTGCCTCTTAGTTTTCTCTTTCTCCACTGTAGATTACAAGCTTTAACTCAGACATAGTACATCCATTTATAATATTAGGGGCTTACAGCATATAGTTTTTTAAGTCAGTGGATGGTTGCATCTCAAGGTGAAGGATTTCTCAAACTTTAAACCCCGAAGTTTATAGAGATCTGAAGGATCTTCTGCCTTCTAAGCAGTCTTGAGAATCTATAGCTAGCTGTTAAAAGACTAATATTGCAGAGCATGTATAATTTCATAAGCAAACTAAATTATTAAAAACTCATCTGCTTTCTCTCTGTGTTGAGGGTGGTGGGGTAAGGGACGATGAGAGAAAAGAGAAGCCTCAAGTACAAATGCCTGTGGAGCACGTTGACTGGCCACTGGGTGTCACTGTTGATTCGACTTCGAGTTAACAAGAGAAAAATCTACATTCACGTGCTCATAGACTGAGGAAAAATAAAATCAAATGTATTTTTAAACTCCTTCTCTACAGATGCAAGCACATTGGGGTTTTGGCATAAGGAAGAGAGAGAAGTGAGGAAAAGAAAAGGAAGAGCAAAATAGCAGAGAAAGCAGAGTTTCCAAACATGGGGATGTGTGACAGGGAAAGTCTGCAAGATCTGAACTTCTCTGTTTGCCAGTTGAGAGGTGGAGAGGAGTTCAACAATAAAATTTTATGAACCTCAACCTCAAAAAGAGCAGAAGAAGTTTCATAAACACCTGCAGAACTTGAGCAACCTCTGGAAGCTCAAAACTTATTTAAACTCTGGTTTGCTTTAGGAGAAGGACTGACTTACCTGTAGCGACATCATGTCTGGCCTGTACTGTTTACGGAAGCCAAGGTCATACATGAGGAATTTCAGCATTTCAAAGGCCTGTTCTTCACTCATATGTAGAAGCAGCACTCCAGCTACAAAGCTTATACCTTGACAATAACCCACTTCTTTGTCCAGCAAAGAGTATGCCTTCAGGAGATTAAAGAGTGATAGCTGCCCTGCTCCCAGGTGGGCAGAAAAGTAAGGATGCGTAGGGAATGTCCGTCCTGATGTAGAGAGAGAGAAAAGAGGAGCTGATATGCAATTCTTCTCAAAAAAAAATAAACAGATCCATCTGACAACCAGCAATTCTCTCTTCCCGTAGACCATTTCTCTTTGCTTTCCCATGCAGGTTGACTTTAGTCAGAACAATCTGTATTTTAACACTGATTTTACCGCTGATTTCAGACTGTATCCATTGAGTTCATTTAATAATCTCTTCTGCATAAAACCGGCAGAAATTAATGCTTGATTTCTCTTTTCAGACAGACGTAGAAGAGCGTAAATACAAACAGCATAACCTAAGAAATCATCTGCTTAGAGGACACCAAATGACACATGCAGAATATATCTTGACAACATACAAAGTGATGCTGATACAGCGACATCTATCTCCAGCAACAGCTTCCGTTAAAACTGGTGTGTTTTCACTCAAAGATTCACAAAACAAGTCAGAAAAATCTCCCAACTACCAACAGACGTACCTAGATCAACAAGGATGGCGTGCTGTTGAGCAGTCAGTTGCTTCAGAAGTTCTTTGTAAGAAATGTCAGGAGGCTGCTGCTTGTTGGGTAGCCTGTGTCTGACTCGATGTTGCACAGCCAAAAACTGCCAAATTTCTCCCCGACGGCTTTTTGGTACACCTGCAGGTCAGTCACAAAAAAAAAAAAAAGGAAGCCTAAGCAGGGGCCTATTTTTATAGTAATTACTCTGGGCAACTGAGGTAGACATCACTTGTTTTGCCACTTCTGAGCTGTTAGCCTCCAGCAGGAAATCATGCAGTCTGGCCCGTTCAGTAAAGCTGAACTAAATTCAGAGGTGTAAAATACAGGTAAGTCCACCTCCTCTTCCTAAAGGGCTGCCCGTGCCAGTCCATAGGCTTGTAGAAAGACATACAGATTATAAAATGCTTGGTTCCAACTTGACAGCACTAATGCTTCATACCCAAGGAAAAACACAGAATCATTCTTACTGAGAGACAGCATTTCTCTCAAGTCAGCCAGCCATCTGTGAAAGCATGAACTAAATTAAAACACCACTTTCAGACTTTCACATACATCAATCTTCGGTATCAATCTCTGCAAACAGACATTTGAGAGTCAAAATAGCCAACTCTGCTAATGCTTTCCAGGCAAATGATTATTTAACAAGAATACAGGTTAGAAAAATCATATCCTTGTTCCCAACTCTGAACTGCAGTCCAGCAGCAGTAAGGTAAGTCATTTGTTGGCAGTTTTCTGCAGGTCACTAACAGGAACCACCTTACTTCTGCCACAATTTCCTTTGGTAGCAATTTAAACTTCCCTTCTGTACCACAGCCAGATTACACTGAAGTATTATTTTTCAGCATCTCTAGCACAGACATGAGATTCTGCAGAGGAGGGCACAGCGGTGCAATCAGACTCTACACCAGCATTGTAATAACAAGGCCCTCTGGCTTCCCTTCTGGCCCATAGCTAGGCCACAGAAAGATCTACTCCAAGTCAAAATTCTCAGCCTCTCACTCAAGGAAAAAAAAATAATACTAAAGGTCCACATTCCAGATTCTCCAAGATGTGGTCGTTCTGACTCTCTGAAGGTTGGTTGTGATTCCCTTAGGTTTTGGACACAGGTCCTGCCTTCTCAGTAAATAAAATCAGAGCATCTGAAACTCAGAGTCAATTGGAGAGGAGCCACAGAACAGAAGCCAGAAGGTCACCATGCTACCTGCAGAAGCTCCAAGTTCGATCGATGAAGTAACACATGGGCACAAGATAGTACTTTCTGGAGTATGACTATACATGTTTCTGTATTGTTGACACTGTAAGCAATGAAAATTGCACAACAGACCCTATTTTCTGTTTGGCAGCAGGAGGTGGCTGCATTTGCAAAAAGAAGGCAAATTTTTCATGATTTTGTGCCACTGGAAATAGCGTACCGATAGCAGATTTCCTTAGGTATCAAAAGAGAACAAAAAAAACCCACTTCAAACTTCATAGTTAAAAGCCATCCTACATAAATACCTTCTTTTAAAGTGGAATGAATATCTTCCATGTCACACCGGATTTTAGCTCTACAGTTTAATAACTTCTTATCCCAAACATTTATAGCATCTTTCTGACATGTACCAACTTCATCATAGTCCAGTTTTACTTTTCTTGATTGGAGCTCATCTCTGCTTGCTAGAGCATGGAACACAAAGGAAAAGCACTCAGAAAAACAGAACATCAGAAAACTACAAGAGACATGAAACAGGCAAAATCCATCCAAGTCATATATCTCTCTGATAATCTGACCAGGGATAAAAATAGCTTCTACAACTCATCAGTTAATAGCTGTGGTGGGGCCAGTCTTTTGTCATAAGATGCTGCAGGTAACAATTTAACCTCTCTGAATAGGCCATGAATATTAGTAATTCATGAAGTACATGAAAACATTGCTTAAGGCTTGGGGCAAGACAAAAAATCCACTGAACACAGACACTTCACCACATCTGCTGTTTCTTTCAACTGCAAAAACACCTTTGATCATTTTTCTCTTGTTTATACTGAACATTACAATTGTTTTAGTATGGGAAGTCCCAAATATATGAATGCTTATTTTAGAGGTTTAGGTAAGCACTCTAAGTCTTCTAAAATTAAGTCGGTCACACTGGGTTCAGTTTTAACACATCCCTTAAGAGAATGATAAGAGCTCTTGGCACCGCTACCTGGCATCATCAGGCTAACTAGAAGCAAATATAATGAACTACAGAAAGGTGTAGAATGAAACACAAAAAGGTGTATCTGCTGAAGCAGAGAACTCATGTTGCTGTTACCTTAAAAGGTTTGCTACCTAACACCACCTGGCACAAAATATTTATTCCAGAGAACTCACTGTTTCTGAAATAAAGCTGCATTGTTGCTCTGGAATTTCATGGAGGAGCAGCTTTCATTTCCATTATTGAGAAATTAACTGTGGTTATTTTATTCTACATGATATGCATGTGGAAAAACACTCCAACTCCTATTACTGGTGTAAAAAAACCTGGAATCAAGAAACGAATGTGTCTTAATTTGCAGAGATAAATTTAATTATCATTGGACAGAATCATACATTTCACAACATGACCTGTGAAAGTTGCAATGTAATTTATCCCAAATTTGCCTTGATCTGTGTGCAGTACTTGCTCCTCACAACAGAGCAGTGCTTGCTCCTCCTTCCTCTTGCAGACCCTCCTCACCATAATCTCTAGGTGAAATCAAATTCTCGCTCATGTTCTTATACAACATGCAAACCAAGACAATCAGTTCCTTACCCTGATCGTCTCACTTTGGGCACAGCCAATATTGGATGAATCCACAGAATCATTGCCTAGCCCACTCCAAAAACGTAGGTGACAAATTATTTCCAGAAGCCATGTTACACTTCCGAGACCGTATCTGTTTGAGGTTGTTGGGGGCCCTGTAGAAGCAATTGTCACGCAGGTGCAGCACACTTCTATAAAAACGGGAATGTGATCTCACCACGTGAATCTGCAGCCCAGTTGGGCCAATTTTCCACACTACCCTATCGCTCTATGATTTCATCTGAGAACGCTCACTCTCATAAGCAGTATGTGAAAAATTCAAGACAACAGGAAGGTATTTCAGTGCAACAGTGAACTCCAAGATTAAGCGCACAGTTATCATTCACAGGAATGGTACTTTGGCTTTGCATTTAGTCCCAGAGCTTGCCTGTAGATTGTAACTCTTCTGCAACCCTTGGTTGCTTGCAACCATTCTTGTTAGCATTCTTCCTAATCACTGCTACTTTTTGTAGTTCATACACTTCTAGGTGATCTACTGGAAAAAGTGTCCTCTAGCTTCTCAGGATAAAAAAACCACAAAACAAAACCAACAACGCTGTGCAATTCACAGAACTTACCTTCTGTAAAACAAAGAGCTAATAGCACTCAAGTCTCCTCGACAGCAAAAGGAATAGGAAAAGAGGTTCTATTAATATTTTGTAAATAAAAATCAGAACTTCAACAGAGAATCACTAAAAACAATTCCACAGCAATTCCAGTCTTAATGCAGTCATACACAACTGAAGAAATTCACAACTAGGAACCTAGCTTCAAGTAGAGAAATGGCTGTATTTCTGTTACTGCATTTCCCATTCCTGAGATGCACAATTAATAGTAGGCTAGGGTGCCAACCACTGCTCGATCCAGCACTTGACTGGAATGGATCAGTTCTGTAGATGTCGGGTCCATAAAATGGCCCATGTTACAGCAGCCCGCAGGAAAGAAGCCTAGACATAGGCCTTCAGGCAGTTTACTTTTTGCCCTCTGAAAAGAAGATGCTGGATTCCAGCTAGCCAGAGCACCATTTTCTCTCAGCAGTACTTATGAACCTGCATACAAGAACAGAGACATGTCCCCTGCAGCACAAACCAAGGATGCAGGCTGGAAGATGAGTGCCAGTTTGGAGTCTCCACTGCCGACACTCCTGTTTTCACCACAATCGACCAGACAACTTATTTTCTACATATCCGCTACAGAATGGAAATAATTTATAAATGAGTCTTAAGGAACTGCACTGATTTAACAGTTTTCAGTTCCTCCAGTCTTGCAGGGTGGATACAGAAAAGAGTTTGTCCCTCAGCAGCTCATAATATCAGAAGGAATAACATGAAATTAGTCACTACAGCAGATGTCCAGCTTCCCCACCCCACAACAGTAGACTAACTGTTTGCTAAAAGAAAAAACAAAATTTTTCTCTAGAGTTAAAACAGACTTCTCTGTAGATGTTCCCTGTGCATTTAGCAGTTTCCACAGAAGTGTGTATCAACAGGGAGACGAACTGTAGAGCGAGCGCACAGCGAAATGCACTACATGCTTAGGAAGTACATTCAAGGATCTGCACTTGTAGGAATATGGAGAGACTTCTGTCCTGCTGTTTTTCTTTTCTCTCCCTGCCTTCTCAGTAAGCACCACTAGAGAAGGAAAAAGAATTAACTGATCTAAACAAGACTGTTATGTTTTATATAAAGAATCAGACTACCATATAATGAGATTATATGCCATATAGGAGAAGATGAGGTAAGCAATTGCAGAGAGAACATCTGAAATTTTCAACTTGCACCAAAAGCTACTAGTCTATTATACTGAAGAATTTCTATATGCTAGGATAGACATTGCATCCTGTCTTTTATTTGTGTAAGTCTTGATCAGTCATCATAATAAAACATGTTAGCCAGAAGCTCAGGCAGCTGACAAGTTAGCATGGCCAACTTCAGATTCCTCAGTAATAGCACTCGATTTTCAGTGTACTGTGCTCATCTTCCAAACAAACAAACAAAAGAATGAAAAACCTTTCTGACATACCTCAAGAGCCAGTTGCTCAAAAAATGAAATTTAGATTCAAATATTTATAAATTAGCACTGGAATGTGGTTAGTGAAGGACCAAAAGTCCGGACAGAAATGGTATGTGCTGCAAAGGACTGAAACGGGATATAGAGGGTAAGGTTGACCATATCTAGGTTTTCTCACAGGATCTGTCTTCCTGACTCCACGTTAGAATTCCTAGACTTGGTCAACTAGAATACACATTCTAACAACCTTTGTCTAACATGTAGTAAAAATGGAAAAGTTATCACTTTCTTCTTTAACTAAAGTGATTCATTAAGAGTTGGCAGGTAGGCAGAGAACCCAACAGATCGTCAGACAGGACTGGGCAAGTTCACTTTTTTCCCTCACAGTGTTAACTAAAAATTACAGTACTACATCTCTGTTTGAGGAGCCTAACACCAGTACAGTTTTCAGCTTCAGGCAGCAAAATTTGTAATACTTTTTAGGGAGATTTTCTAAATAGCTAACCTTCCAGCTTCTGGTTTTCTTTTTCCATTCGAAGCAACAGAATTTGTTGATGAATAGCTTTTCTCCACAGACTTTGTAGTTCTTCTGAGTTTCTTCTCTCTCCAGTTTTATCTGGATCATCCTCATTTTGCAATACTAGAACAAGAGGATCCTCCTCCAGCGGTGGAGCAAGAGGTGATAATGGTAACAATTCACTTCCATCATGACCATCTGAAAAGAATCAGAAAGCTATTAGAGGAAACTAAGATTGTTTGACCTATTGTGAAAATCTAAGTCATAGGAGAACAAAAATAGCTGTCTTTCACATTTAGTAAGGTGCTGATACCAGAAACAGAGACAATGCAGTTCAACAGTAGAGAACTATTTCTAAATAAAATGTTTTATTTAAGTTAGGTTATATTAAATGAAATAAAGCTAAATAATGAACCAGTATTTCAACCCTTTCTCCTGCTAGCTCCTTCTAGAGTTACAAAAAGACATTTATCCATAATCTCTTTTACAGATGAGCTTATTTCCCACAGGCTCTACATTAAAAGCAACTTTTTCCATCTGCTAAGCTGCATCACACAGAGTTTCACATTTACTTATGGTTGTGAATTCCACCAACAGGACTTTATCAACATAGGAGGATTTCAGATATTTCAGAGTTTTCTACCTTAAATGACTTAAAGCTGTAAGAATTATTAACACACTCAAGAGGTGCTATGTGCAGCAACAAGGACAAGACAGAAAATTTACCATTTTCTGCCAACACTGCTATCATGTAAGCAGGCCAGGGTAAAACTTTGCTAACTAAGAGGATATCTTTGTCAGTAAGAGGAAGCTTTTCAGTTCCTTGGTACCAGCACAGCCGTGGCAGATTGCAATTCATTTGATTTTGATGACAGAATCCCCTGTTCAATAAGGACCCAAAGCCAACTGAGCACAAGTGGTCTCTAGTGAGGTTCTAGCAAGAATATTGTATCAAGATGACCCCCTTCTCCTTTTCATATTTTCACCTATTACAATTTTCTACAGTAACAGCTATTCAACAAGAACTGCTTGTTTATTTTCTTTAAAAGCATACACAGACCTGGATGATGCATCTTGGAAGGAGATTTATTCATAGGTGAAGCTACCTGCAGGAATATTCTCCGCCGCCAGGAGATGCGGCGAGGTGTGACCGTGGCCCCCACAGCATTTAGAGATTCACTGCTGCAGACGGCTGATGTTCTTTTCTTTCCCTCCCCATCACTGAAGAGAAGAAAAAGCAGATGAGGTGATCAAAGTCAGTCATCTTTGGAGGAAAAAAAAAAGAAATAAGCTTTTTTAAGTCTGTCTAATGTACAACTAAACCTGCAGGAGCATTTGCTGGGAAGCTTTAGAAGGCAAAGTGTGCTGTGTACAAGCTTCACCCTGAATAGAAAACTGTCCAGTTGTTTTCTTGTAACACAGTGCTGTGAGGTTTGCACTATATACCAGCAGGAAGAATTCATAGCATTCATACAGCGCTCAGCTGGAAGCTCAGAATAAAAGCTAAACTTGCTGAAAAGCTAAGAGAAAAATGCGATAATATTTAGCCCCTAGAACAACAGCAATGGATTTTGTTTTGCGATGCATTACTCTTACAGGGGTAGTCCAATGTAATAGCCCTAAAAGCACAGAAGTTGCTCTAGCAGAGTGCAGTGCTCCATTTAGAGCCATTTTAAATGGCATGATGAGCTCACAGGTGAGTATTTCACTGGAGGTGATGTTCTGGCCTTTTCATACAGCCTCTTTCCTATGCTTCAAGAAGTGGACACTTCACTTGCACAAATGGGGCCAAATGTCCATCTCCAGCTGAAAGAATAGAGTCTTTGCAAACAAAAGGCAGGCTAAGTTCCTACCACAACGACGTGAAAGGAGCTGATCTCCTTCCTAGTTGCCATGTAGAAATATATTAACATACCTTGCTGCAAGAGGCAAGAAGAGAATACAGGGAAACATTGCTAGGATATAATTTTAAGCCAACACTAAGCAAACATCTCTACTGACTCCTGCCACAGGAAAGGACATCTAGCTTTCCTAAGTACATGAGACATTTTCAGAAATATTTCACTATTTTGTATTTGTGCTAGTAAAGTAGGTGCACAGATCTTGTGATACTCAACTACAGGCTTCTTGGGAAGACAGTATCACGTACAGGAAGCTGTGTCTGCAACTTCATCGCAGGGAAAACTGTTTTATCAACACAGCAGTAGCTACACTCAAACCTTCATCCTGTAAATAATTTCCATGCTACAGTGCAAAGTCCCTTCAAAAGACTTAGATGAAAGGAAAGTCCAGCACATTGCTTACTGCATCTCTAGTGGTAAGTCAGTTGCAGATGATCAGTTTGCCAGCTGCAGTCTGTCTACCAACATCTGGCTTGCCCAAAAGGAGACATTTGCAACACTACAAAGTTTCAGCTACAGTCTACCAGCCTACATCACCTCAATCAGCACTTCTCATACAAAATACTCTGTGCTTAATGGTAATCCATCAAATTAGAATTTCAGAACTCTTTGGTGATCAAAGCTGTCCCTATGCTAATGATTAACAACAGCTCCCTGACTTCTGTAAGCCCTGGGGGGCAAACTGGACTTACCAACACAGGTATCAGACCCTGCTTCCATATCCTGGCAGAGAGATAATCGTGTCTTGAAGTTTATCTACTCAAGCATTAGACATTACCCCTGTTTTCATCTAAGAACAGCATGATGGGCTAGGAGCCCTGGATAACAGTCAGTCTGAATTATTCTCCACTTCCAATTTAATTTCTACAGTGACTCAGTTCCATGTGCATCACACCATCAGGAGGTGGTCTCAGTGGAGCCCAATGTTGCACTACCCAAAAAACAGCAACCTAAAACCCTGCGACAATATTCTCTGGCTAATTCTTACACAGGCTTTGGTGGTGAGCTAACCACTGTTTGTGCTAGCTAAATACAGACCACAAAACTGATTTTAAATCTAGACATGTTGTCTTCCAAAGGTATTTCAGTTCAACAGCTCTGGGAAATAAAGTATTGAGTTTGGATATATTAATCAGTATAACTCACGTTTCTATAAATAACTTGGAAAGAAACTACCTCTCACTATTTCAAGTCTTACATACCATGTTACAAAACGTGAGTCACTCTAGGGCTTACTAAATAGAAGCTACATAATGAGGGAATGAAAATGTACAAAAACCTAACATTCAGCTACTGTCTGTGTCCCTAAATGCTCACACAGTCCTAGGAACAGTGTTCCATTTACAGTAGTAAAATTTACAGAGAAGTCAGAACAGAGGGTGGCTATTTCAGGGTATGAAACAAAGCTGTTTACACCAGAGTTGCAGAGTTTAAAGCAGGATGTAACAGTCACATGTGCTACCTTGTGAAGTGTGTAAATCATACAGTTCTGAGGACCTGTACTTCATAGAATCATAGAATTGTCAGGGTTGGAAGGGACCTTAAAGATCATCTAGTTCCAACCCCCCCTGCCATGGGCAGGGACATCTCCCACTAGATCAGGCTGCCCAGAGCCCCATCCAGCCTGGCCTTAAAAACTTCCAGGGATGGGGCTTCCACCCCCTCTCTGGGCAACCTGTGCCAGCGTCTCACCACCCTCACGGGGAAGAACTTCTTCCTAACGTCCAGTCTGAACTGATCCATCTCTAGCTTTAATCCGTTCCCCTTAGTCCTATCACTACCTGACATCCTATAAAGCCCTTCGCCTGCTTTCTTGTAGGCCCTTTTGAGATACTATAAGGCCACAGCAAGGTCTCCTCGGAGTCTTCTTCAGACTGAACAACCCCAACTCAGTCTGTCTTCATAGGAGAGATGCTCCAGCCCTCTAATCATCCTCATGGCCCTTCTCTGGACACGCTCCAGCACATCCAGACCTTTCTTGTGCTGTGTACTTCTGTTGTTAAGCTTTCCCTTATAAAATTTCCTTGGTATTTTAAGCAACTGACATTAATCAATTCCTTTTCCAAAGCACTGTATGATGAGTGATTAGAGGCAAACTTTTAAAAGTCTCGTGCACAGCTTGCCATATTCAATGGAAGGAAAGGGCAGCTGTGAAAACACCAAGATTTAGGAAAGGGAGGCTTAGAAAGGTAGAAAAGAAGTTTCCTCATTTCAGGACAGACAAGTCCTAGCTTAACATCAAATCTGAAGGTGTGAAACAATACCCTAACAGAGTAAAAGCAGGAAGAAGTCACAGTAAAATGAAAGTGTCTCCTATGCTGTGATGAAATGGTTTAGAAAAAAACAGACGAGTTAATTACACATTCCCCAGCTTGAAACAGGAGTTGCACAATACTTAATCCCTAGACTTCACCATCTCTCCTACCTAAATTTCACTGGCAGGCATCGCTCTTGGTCATATTTGCAAGATTACTTCAAGTTGTAAGGTAGCTGTACTTTTTAACAGCCTGACAGGTGGGTGCTCTGCTCAGACAGGCTGGTAACATCTCATAGACTTCATCTAAACATGGCAGGAGTGAAGAAAAAAGATGTGTATCTGACCATTAGCTATCAGCTCCCTGCAAAATGAAGACGTTTATTAATCTCAGAAGAAAGATTAAGAGCAGAAGCAACTCCAAAACAACAACAATATTTTTAATGGAGTTCAGTCATTGCTACTGAAGAGCAGAGCAGAGTTTTCACTACTTCCCAACCTGGGGAAACAGAATTTCACAACTTCCCTGTCAGGGGACGGATACTGAATCTCAGACACTCACAGGAAAAACTGTTAAGAAAAGATTCTGTTCTGACAACATACAGGCTTCAACATCTACCTGTGAATATATTGCAAGGTCAATTAGCAGAAATAATCCAACCATTAATTCCAGTTTTTAATTATGTTTTTCACTCTATGAAAAAGTTGCTACAACAAACTGAAGAAATTTATAAATGCTTTATAAACTATCGATTACAGAGCCTAGAGGAGAGGCAAGACAGGGAATGAATATTTCTTGAGTTAGAGTGACATAGTCACCAAGAAGAAAAACCTGCTGCAACCTACCAACAACTGAGATGAAATGCACCAATCTGCTGCAAATTAAGAGATGGCAATATATAAAATCTTAATGAACTACAAGAACTACTTAATGAACTATTTAACTGCAGACTACAACATGATTGCAAGAATTGGCTTTTCCAACTTTACTTTTTAAATTTATTTTAAGAAAATGACAACTGTATTATGGTAAAACTTCTACATCATGATAAGTCAGCGTGGTAAAACAGACCTATGAAAGGGAAAAGCACTTGATCTACTGTTCAACAGAGAAATTCCACAAAATGGAGTATTACCAATGTATTTTACTTACTGTTCCTGTTTTAATGACTTAACATGCAGCTATGGAAAATGATAACAATGTAATAATCTAATATTTAAGAAAAATGCATCACAGTTCAGTTTGGAAATAATGGTTCTCCATAAGGCTATTTAGCCTATGCTCCTGACTCAACATAGAAACCAAAATGCATTCATCAGCTTGTATGCAATAAGAAGTGAAAAGCTATAAATTCAATATAGTGTCTCAAATATTTCAGTCTATACTTTTACCCTTAAGCTATTAAAAGTGATAACTCAGCTACTCAAAGAGTACAGAGTCTGATCATCTAAGCTTTTTATCTGACGTTACTGCACTTGAAGTTTCACCAAAGCAACATCCCATTCACTGTTCTATCAGATAATGCATAATATGAAGATGAGACAGCTACTTTAGGGAAAATAAATAAAAGAAGAAAAAAAAAAGAACAAATCCAAAAAACTTTCTCAGATTACAAACATGTTTATTTCTTGGTTTCAATTACCTCCAACTCTTGTGAAAAACTGTTCTTTACAATGTTCCCAAAGGGTGATGTTCCAAAAATCACAAAGCTACACCACTTCTTGTGAACTTGTTCCACAATACTTACATGAATTATTTTGTGCATGAGTCCATGAAGTCAACTGGATATTGGCAACTTGAGAATAAATATCGTTGCTGCTCATGCCAAGGTTTGCATTTTTCCTCAGTTCTCTTTCATTTCAACTTCTCTTAATTATAGTTTGGAGGTTGAGATGGTACAAAATCCTCCAGATCAAGTACAGAAAGATCGCTAATATTTCAGCTCCTAGGACTTAGACTGGCAGAAGCCTATACGCAACCCCAATACAGGAAGTATTCGTTCCCTATGGGGAGAAGAAAAACTCTTTCTGATCAGTTAACGCTTCTCTAT